AAGAGCTATGGCTGTTAAAGTGGTGTTCTTCTAGGGTGCTTCATGTCCAGATGCTTCTGTGAAGCGTGTGGCTTGATAAGGAGAAGAGCAGTCTCCTGGGCTGTGCACAATGTGCAGATCATTCACTCCTGATGACTTATGAAGCTCCATCTTCAGGAAATGCTGGTGGCCAGGCTCTTGTCTTCCTTTCCCCTTAGTAAATTCCATAAGCACAATGAGCCTTGGTGCCTAGCTGTTCAGAGAATAAAAACACTGAGATGCACAGGAGGTATCCTGTCTGTGTGATTAGGTTATATATTGAAGAAAACTGCAAAGGAAACGGTGTCCCTCTGTTAATGGGGTTAAATCATTCCTATGTGTACAGAGGTGGCTTTCTTGAGAGTTGCAGGCATTTTCCTGTTATAGAAGTTTTCGGGGATGCTATGTGGGCCTTTCTTCAGAGAGTTACAAAACACCATGTTCTACTAGCATCTCTGTTGAATGTTCAGTTGGGTAGACCAACACTTTTAATTAAGTCTTACAGTCTGGCTTTTTCAAATAACTCCTGTTTATCAAACTATCATATACAGCAAAAGGTTTAAAAAAATGAATAAACTGTCACCTGACTGTGATGTGGACTTACACTTCACATTTCTCTACTGCTCTTCTCTCCCATTTGGAATCCTCCAGTGCAGGAGGACCTGAGCTGGGCAAAACGCTGCTTTGTTTTTTGATCTTGCCTTGAATGTGCAGGAACTGTTAAGAAGGGCAAAAAGACTTTTGCATAGCTTTAGTGAGAATGCATACATTCAGTCTTGCAGGCAGGCAACATACATTTCTATCCCTGGACAAAGTTTGTCAGCATCAAAAAGTCGGGGTTTATATGCTAGCGTTCCTTTTCATCTGCTAAAATGGAAAAACATAACTCTTCAGATGACAATATCTACATTAGCAAGTAGTGTGGCACAATAGAAGTGCATCCATAAAGCAAAATGGTACTGAGTACCTAGCATCCACATTATACGTGTTTTGGGGAAAGGGGAGTACTTTGGGCTCTCCTTGGCCTGGTCCAATGGACTACTGCTCATTAGTGGCTGATGCATGCTTTTTAGTTTAATTTCATCCCAAAGGAATTTATTTTGTGTACTCTGAGAGAACTCTGCAGCACAAGCTGAAGTGTCATAGGTGTGGACAATCTGATGCGTTTCAAAAGCAAACTCCTGGTCCAAAGTAAAATACTAATTGCAGATAGATTCAGTCAGGTTGGAAGGGGCCTTGAGAGGTCTCTCGTCCATCCTTCTGTTCAAAGCGGGGTCCACTCTGAATTCAGACTGGGATGCTGAGGGATTTGTCCAGCCAGGTCTTGAAAACTGCTTAGAACAAAGATTCCACACCCCCTCTGAATGACCTGTTCCAGTGCTAAATCATCCTCATAGTGAAGAACTTTTTCCTTATACATAGTCAGAACTTCAGTTTATGCATGTAATCTCATTCCTCTGTTGTATACCACTGTAAAGAGCCTGGCTCCGTCATCTTGGTCACCTCTCCATAGGTACTGGGGAGGCTGCTCATAGGTTCCTCTTCAATCTCAACAAGCCTGTGTCCCTCAGCCTCCTCTCCCAGAGCAAGTTCTCCAGCCTCTGACCACCCTGGCGGCTCTCCACTGAACTTGATCCAGGTTATCAAAGTCTGTCTTGTATTCAGGTCCACAGAGTGGCCCAAATGTGGTCCAACAAGTGCTAAGTGGGGTAATCACTTCTCTCAATCTGCTGGCTGTGCTCCTGTTGATACAGCCAATACATCCTATTGATGCTGTTAGTCTTCATCACTACCAGGGTACGCTGCTGGCTCATGTTTCGCCTGATGTCCACTGGAACCCCCACATCCTTTTCTGTAGAGGTGTTCTCCAGCCAGTCTCCAACCCAAACCATTGCAGGCAGTTAGTCCATCATGGGTGCTGGGCTTTGTATTTGTCCTCATTGAATTTCATGAGTTTTCCTGTGGTCCATTCCTCCTGCCTATCTAGTTCCCTCTGCATGGCAGCTCTACCCTCAAGCTTATCAACTGTTTCCCCAGTTTTCCCTCATCCACAACTTGATGGGGGGGTGTTCCAGCTCTTCTTCCTTGGCATTGGTAAAGACCCTAAGTTGGATAGGTCTCATAGGCCTCTGTGGTACTTCACTTGTAATCAGCCTCCAGGTTAGAGTATAAACCATTAACCACCATCCTCAACCCTGGTGATCCAGCCATTTTTTCCTGAAGCCCAGGGCCTGTGTTCTGCTACTTGCCTTTACTACTCCACTGTTTCATGGTTGTTATAGCCAAGGCTGCCATTGATTATCATATTGCCAGCCAGTTCTTCCTCCTTCCTGAGTAGCAGATCAGAAAGATGACACGTGTAGTATCTGTATGAAGAAATTTACCCCAACATCCTCCAGAAAGCTTTGCAAGGTCCCCGAGGTGACCCTGTTCGTGTCCTGTTTATTCTCCATGATGCTACGGAGCCTGTTGACCTCCTCCCACTGCTCCTTTTGCTGGGGACTCAGTGCCCCAACCAGAGTGTATCTCCCACTGTGAGGCCAGTGTCACCCTGCAGCCTGAGTCCTGGGTGGCAGCACCCTGCCTCTGGAGCTCTGTCTCGGTTGAGGCCTCTGATTTCCCAGGGTGTCATCTCCAGTGGGTGCTGGAGATGGAGCCTTGTAGTGCCCCACCGTGGTTGTGGCACAATCCCATGTTGTCTGAAGGTGGCTGTTAGGGCCTGCTTTGCGTCTGCCACCATGCAAACTGGGATGCTAACTTCTAAAGTCTGCACCCTGCAGTGGGTGAAAACAGTTACTAGAAGTGTTTAAAGAAAATACCAACAGCATTACCTTATAATGCCTGTAATTAGATGTTTAAACTGCCCTGACTATGTTGATTTTGTGAAACACGGATGTGAGTGGACCAGAATCACTGAGTGACCTGCGTGCGTGGTACTGGGAAGTCACCTTAACTGACAGTTACCTATTTTTGATAGATAGCATATTGTTTGCAGATTTAGGTGAGTGATATGTACCATTATCTCAGGATATCTCTTTGAAGAATGAATTAGTATAATGCCGTTGTTTTTTTAATTATGTCATAAATTACGTGGCTCTTGCCCTTAGGGATATGTAGTCTGTACTAAAACACAGACAAGGAGTCCCTATGAAACTTTAGAGGATGATGCTGCTTCAGAGAGATCTGATTTTGCTAGTAGTTTATTATTTCTGAGGTATTTATTTCTTGTACCAGACCCACACCAGTGAATCCCAAGGAGAGGTGTGAATGGATCATGTAGTACCTGGTGTGCAGTGTCAGTGCTGAGGGCACTCAAAACGGTTTGGGCAGCAAAGTAAAAAACACAGAAATGAAAATAAGGAAAGTTGCAAGATGAGGTTTGTAGGCTGACAGAAGGATTAGAGGAGCATGTGACTGAAGAGAAAAGAATAAAGGTACCTGGAGGTAATCTAAGTGCAGCTTTAAGGCAAAGGGAAGAAGTGGGTAACAAAATGACAGCGGTGACATTCATACAGTTTGAGTCCAGACTTGTGTTTTGCTTCTAGCATTATGTGCATTTAAAAAAAGGCAATCTTAATGAGCTAAGCACGCTAGTGAGAGTTTTAACTTGAATGCTAATGTTTTTGGCAAAGCGCGCAACTCTTAAAGCTCTTAAATCTCTGTGCAAGAAATACAATTTTAACATCTCTTAATATTAGATAATTCTCAGGAGACCTAATGTATCTTTTTTAGTAATAACTCATATAAGATTCTCATTTATCTGCTCTTGAGTTGGAAATAATAATTTAGAAGAAAGGTGATTAGATATAGCAATTTATGAAAAAGGAAATGACAGGCTATTTGGTATAGCTGCTTATTTTCCATAGCTATTTTCTTATGCCTTTCATATAATATATAATTTTGTATAATTAGTAAATATCAATAAAATCAGGCTAAAAGCAATGTCATGCCAGCTTTAGTCTATTCTCTTCCAATTTTGTCATTGTGAGAAATATTTTTGTTTGAATTTACTGGGAATGCATTGTCATCAGTTCTCTACTGCAACACACTGAACATTGTCCAACAGCTGCTATATAATTCAGATGTTTGCTTAGGTTTTTACTGGTTTACTCTTGATTTTACTGTATTTTAAACATATTTTCTATATTCTGTGTCTAATACTCTCTTCCTTATCTTAACTTTACATATAATGTTAATTATTGGCAGTGTATTCATAATATCCTGGACACTGTCTAGTATAGTGTCCAGTTTGGTTTTGTTCTTGTAAAAAGGTGCTTTTAGCCTTTAGGTATGCTTGCTTCCATGTAAATAATTCTCATACATGATCAAAGAATGAAATTAGAATTTGATTTTTATCTCACTCAGGATTTTTGTCTTTGTTTTCTGGACCTGATCTTAGTTACATTTTGTGGGTTTTACTTTGGGGAAAAAATGGGCTAAATACAGTCTGTTTAGAAAGAACTATGTATTACACAAAACAATATATAAGCATGTTTCATTATTTTAGAGGTAGTTTTTCAGTGACATTTTCCCCTTTATTTAATTTGTTCCTTCATAGTACTGA